ATAGTCGCAGCGCTATATAGCGCTGCGTCGTAGCCGGAATACGTTGTACTCGCCGTTTCTAAGGGAAATGAAATTGAAACCTCAAACTTTGGAGGAGTCAATCCTTTATATTCATGGAACCATTCTACTAACTTGTACCCATCAAAATGAATACTTTATTCTTTTGATGAAACATTTATCACGTATAATGTATAGTAATCACAAATCTTTATATAAAGTCAATTTTATAACTTCAGAAAGATTCAATTCAGCTAAATTTTTAAGCCATGTCATGGTTTAAAATATTAGCAGAATTTTATTGTATCATTCATATGTATCAATTCCAATACCCAGAGGATCAATTTCATGTTATTAGTGCCTACATCACGGTTAGCAGGACATTTACATAGGATTTTCAATCTTGGCGAAAAATATTAACATATATACATATATATATATATATATAATTTAATGAAAACTTACTATTTGTAGCTGTCGATGGTGTAGCCGCGGGTGTTGCAGGAGCTGTATATCCTGAAGAATAGGTAGCACTTTGAGTAGGATTAGATTGCTGATAAGCTGTACTTGATGCTTGGTATGTTTTAGCTTGTCCAGTAGTAGTAGCTTGTCTGGCTGTGCCTGTATAAGCACTAGTGGTGCTATATGCAGGTTTCGCAGCTTGATAATGTGTTTCTGTAGTAGTGTAAGTCGCTGCAGCTGCGGCAGGTTGCTGATAATAAGTTTTAGCAGCGTCGTATGTAGCTGCAGGTGCAGCACGCCCGTAACCGTAATCGTATGTCTGAGCCACAGTACCAGGATTAGCAGCTATAAAGAAAAAGGACCTTATGAAACTGGAATGTAAGCATGAAAATACTGGATACTGGACTCTATTTATGAAAGAAAAGAAAGATGAAAAATATGAAATTGATTAAAATGAACTTACCAGCGTACGTGGTCCCAGTAGCGGCTGCAGCGGCGGCCGCTTGATACGTTTCGTAACCTGTAGCCGCAGCAGCAGCGGGTCGTTGAGTGTACGTGGCGGCAGTTGCCGCTGGAGTTACTGCGTATCCCGCTTGACCAGTCTGATAAGCGGCTGCGCTGGTCGCTCTGTTCGAAAGAATAAATAGGTTTTCTTACAGACAAGGAATACAATGAAAAATGGAAACGCAAAACGAAAAAGACCTCTATCGGATCCGTGCCCGGGAGAGACGCTCGATGGACGCTCTACTCTCAGCAAGAAATGGCGGCCAAGCCGGCTGGGCTCTCGCGTGCACCGATTTTAACGAACAATTATTACTCCCGCCAACGTAGTTACCGTCACGAATTTTCGAAAAACTTAACACTAGCTACTTAATAATTATGGTATGCAATCGATTTCGTACCCATATTGCGTTCCGCCGTGAGTAAACCCAAAATAATTGTTCTGAGCCATCCTTCCTCGCAGAGAATCCCGGAAAGAAGGACAATGGAGGAAGTTGTAGGGCGTGCCACGAACTCGATAGAATGGCGGCGCTGCCGCGGCTCCTATTGGTTATTCTGTTGGAGCCGGGCGCAACAATTGCAAGAATGCCGCGCCCTCAGTGGCCGCTTCCACGAGAACCCTTCGTCGTCCTCCGACAAACTACCTCCGCGCAAATCAACGCGCTACCGTACTAGCCAGAGAAACTACCGCGAGAAAGTATTCACGAAGCGGACAGATGTATACGGTTAATTGAAACTTAACTTACTGCGTGTTTTCTCGTTATCTCCGTTATCCGGGGTAGTATGTAGTTTGTGTAATTTTCGCGGCTGGTGCGTGTTGCAGTGAACGTCCGGCGTGCGCAAGAAAGGGCTAGTTTGCCGGTGACGCGTGCGTTCAACGAATTATTTTTCACGCCCCCTATTAGTAACTGCATCTATCGTTTAGAATTGAAGCGCTCTCTAGTAGGTCTTATCATAATTCTAATGAAATCTTTTTCCACTCGCACAACCAATTTGAAAGTAATACTTACGTTCGATACGTAACCGTAAATATTTTAAATATTATTTTTTTTTTAATCATACAAACTCGCGATACATCATGCCACCGCAGTTAGCAAAGAAAAAGCATGCTAAATATTTCCAGAGGTTATTGCAAATTATGCCCAATTCATGTTCAGCAGAATTTGACTGCTCTAGACTTGCTGTGGCGTTTTTTGCTATATCAGGATTAGACATATTGAATTGCTTGAATGATCTTAGCGAACAAACTAAATTAGAGGCAATAGACTGGATCTATGGGCTTCAAGTAACCGGAGCTGGACCACGCTCCGGCTTTCAGCCTTCGACAACAATACCAAAGGATGCTCCAAAGTATCAATGTGGTCATTTAGCAATGACATATATTGGATTAGTTACTCTCTTAATTCTTGGAGATGATTTAAGTCGAGTCGACAGAGAATCTATTATTGAAGGAATGCGAGCATGTCAAAATCCAGATGGATCATTTACAGCTATTATAACAGGATGTGAAAGTGATATGAGGTTCCTTTACTGTGCTTGTTGTATATCTATAATTTTAAATGATTGGTCAGGCATTGACAAGACAAAAGCAATTGACTACATTTTAAAGAGCATTGTAAGTTTTTATCCTTTCCTCTTTTTATTTTACTTATAAAGAGTATTAACAAAAATTGGCTCTGTCTACTTAATTTTATCATAGCACAATATCTCAACAATGATTATAGTCATATGATGGAGCAATGGGCCAAGGACCTGGTCTTGAATCACATGGAGGATCTACATTTTGTGCTGTAGCTAGCCTATTTCTCATGAACGAACTTCATAATGTATTGACAAATGATCAATTAAACAGACTAAAAAGATGGTGTCTTATGAGGCAAGATAGTGGCTTTCATGGGCGACCCGGAAAGCCTTCTGATACTTGTTATAGTTTTTGGGTGGGAGCAACTCTACAAATGCTTGATATTAACAAATTATCAGATCCTGATGAAAATAGGGCATTCCTGCTTGAAACTCAAGATAATATCGTGGGAGGATTTGGAAAATTTGCTGACTGTCTCCCAGATCCTCTTCATACTTATCTAGGTATGTAGCAGATAGGATATCCATAAAAATAATGTACAATAAAGATAATATACAATATGAATACCTAATTTTTTAGGTTTATGTGGTTTAAGCCTCTTAGGAGAAACTGGTTTATGCGTAATGAACGCTGCGCTTAACATCTCTGATCGAGCGTATAAACATTTACTAAAAATTCATGAAGTATGGTAGTGCAGTTAACAGTCGTATAAAGTATTTGCAACAACTGAATATCATATCCAACGCACAGAGCTTAAAGTACGAAGGAAAAGTAACATTTTTGCATTTCCATGGATCCTATTTGTACAGTTTCCACAGATCCTCTGTGCCTAGAATTGTTATTCCAAAAGCGTCAATTAACAAAAATATTATGATTTTGAGGTATGTTATCAATTATTCTGTTTCAATTAAGACATTTGTTGAACATGTATCCAAAGCACATATTGAAAATAAGAGGAAAAACAATAGCATAATTTAAATGCATCTTAAAGTGTCATTAAGTATATACAAATTTTAAAAATTCTAATAAAAACAACAAAAAAATATGTACAAAGTATTTCTAATTGATACCCTACATCATAATAAAAATTTATAAAATTATTATTCAACTAGTATCTTTCACTTTTTTTGAGAAATTATTAACACAATGCTTCATCCAAAAAAGCATTGTATTATATTGTATCGTTAAATGAAGAAGTTTCGTGGTCAGATCCCGTTCTTTTATATTCACAATGACACCGTCGATGAATGAGCGCGTACTGCAAAGGAGAAAACTCCTTAACACTGCGAAGTTGCCCGAGCGTAGATGCCACATGCGCCCCACCTCGCGGAGCGATGATTCCATGGTAACCGGGGTGGGTTCGCAGACCACAACAGACGACGTTCGTTCGTTCAGTCGAATAGACTGTGGGACTTGAGAAGAGAGTGTTCTATCTTTGCCGGTGTGATTTCTCGTTTTTTTTTCGCATACATGTGTATTGTGTTCAATTACGTCTAGTTCGATAAAATATTTTTAAAGGTTCATCATACCGGTGGAATCTCTAACGCGCACGAAAACAAAGTGGAACGCAAACAAAACAATAGAACAATATCTATCCTACGGTTGTTGGAAAAGAGAAACTTCATTGTCAAGTGTTGGGGTCGCATTCGCGGCCCAGGCATCAGCAGAGGTTAGTGCGCGTCTAAAATTTAAATTAATTTGGTATGAACAAGACTGCTTCTTTACAGTCAAGAATGGAATCGCTAAACGATCGTTCAAACATACATAATTCAGGACAAACGTATTTACCGTCGGGTAATGCGCGTGATCGAAGAGAGTTTGTTCGATATAAAATTCATTTTTAAATTCTATACTTAATTTTAATAGTATTTCTTTTTAAGTTATTTATTTACATTTGAATTACTTTTTATTCTGTGAGGTCGTTAAAATTTGATATTTCACATCATTTCGTGATGATATCATGTTGGAAGTTAACTTCCATCAAAATAAAAAGAGCGGAAAAAGTTCACAGTATAATAATACATATATGTACTTAAAGATAAATAGAAACTTGGGAACTTACGAAACCACAGTTGGCGTATAACTCGCGGAAACGGAAAAGAGAATAGTTCTCGTACCATCACTCTTATCATGACATTGAGTCACGTGAAAAGGAAAGTATGTACAACACGATGGAAACTGAATTTCGCAAAACCGACGAGTCCGTTTAATTGCGTCAGTTAGTCGTGGCTGAATAGATGCATGTAACTTAATTCCGTATGTGCATTTATCACCGTGTAAGTGACGGGTACCAAGAGGAGTAACAGAGTAATACAAAAACATTGTGTATATTTAGAAAATAACGTCCAAAGCTTGTCCAAGGTATCGCGAATTAATCGATTATCAGTATAGCGTGAAATTTTCCACAGTATACGATTTTCATCCACGCAATCGTGCATATCCGAAGGCAAACAGAAAAGGGGGATAGAAATATGGGGTAAACATCTTTTTCGGCTCAATGTAAATCGCGCTTTAACGTAAATGAACCGTCTAGTCTACGGAATGTGAGCCTGTAAAGGCAACCTTAACAAGTAACCGTGCAATGAATGAGACTGTTGTACAACGGGCGTTCACCGTTCTGTTTCTAATTAATACCAGCACAATAGTATGGCTTTTCGCCAGTTATTTTTATCTCCGCAAATCCGTCTGATATGTGCGCTCTCGATGACTGCGACAACTTCATTTGCGGTACTTAACCAGTTGATTCGCGTTTCATCAATCAATCAATTTGCCTGAATTATGGGTTAGGTGCATATACAGTACTGTGCAAAAGTCTTAGACCATTTTATGTAGAAATACCAGACTAGAATACTTGATGTTATTTGCATTTTATTGTCATTTTTTAGAGAATCCAAGAATCTAAGTAATTTATGAAATACTTATTAAATTGAGGTAATTAATATTTTATGACGTCTCTTTTTACTATCTCATAATTTTTTAATTCTGCAATCCTCTGTTCAGTTTTTCTTAAGATTGAATCCCACTTTTTAATTTCGTTGACGTTATGTACCCCATACGTATTTTATAATGCATTCTAATGCGTTATATGTTCCGTGCACTTTTATTCGGTTAAAATTTGAACTATGTTTTATATTGAAGAATAATTAAGGTAACTATTTATGTTAAGAATGATGGATTTATTCACGATGTGCGACAGGTTGTAATTTGAAATTTCAATGCTATACGTATAGGATCAACTGTATCTTCAACCTTGAATAAGCTATCTGCTTAAAACAGAGGCAGCGATGAAAATATGTCCCTCCTAGAGCTCTGAAGGACACAACATTAATTTTGTTCTCCCTTTTTCATTATATGCATCTTGTACATTCTTCCAAGAGAGATCATAAAATTTCATATCCTATTTGTTTTATCACGTAATAAAATATTTTCTAACATTGAATATTTTTGTAGATTTCATAATATATATCTTTTTCGATTGCAAATATATGCAAATATATAAACGGATACGATGAATGAAATTGAGAATGAAACGATTTTTTTAGATTTTTGATAATCCAGTTCATTATCTAATTCTATTTAAAATTGCTTAAAAGCAGTCGCACAGTTTAAAGGAGCTAAAATAAAAAACTTATATATTTCAAAAATAGATATAATATAATATCTAAAATAATCACTGCACAAAAATTACTTACCAATTCTACATATAAAAATATCCTTCTCACATATTTGTACATTATGAATCGTATATTTAATTCTATTTAAAATTATTTCAAAATACGCATATGATCTAAAGATCAGATAAAATACTCTTCTCACATACCTACACGCCGAATCAAATACGTTTGAATATCGAGAAAAGTCGATATCGCGAGGACATAGTCCCGCGCTCGTTAAGATCGTCGAAGGATTACAATTGAGATTCGCTCGGCAGATAGGATAAAAAGTTGAAATTGGATACGATTCCGTGAGAGAATCTTGCGTGTGCAATCGGCGGGATCGATATCCAAAAACGACCGCT